GTATCCTCCTATTCATGAATGTGTCGCGCTTCATATTCATGAACAAGACTTTACTTAACACGGCTTGTCAGAAATCTTAGGACCTTTTCTAAAACCTGACTCTGATACTAAGTTTATCACGATCCAAAGTACACCCTCGGTATGACATAGTGTATAAGACCCCCATAGGCCCTACACAAGTCACTTGAAGTACATACAATATAATAGACAAAAGTATAAAATCTCATATATGAAAGAGTTTAATATAAGAGCAGAAGTCTGCTCATAATCTTGAAAAGCTAATATAATATATCAAAGAAGTGGTTGGGACATAACTCATACACCACGTACAATATCCCAAAGGAGAAGACATATGGAAACAAAGTAAAGAAGACTTGGACCTCATAATATGAGGACTCACCACGTCTCGAGTGGGAGGAGAGGAAGCATCATAACCTACATTATTAAATAATGCAGTTACAAGTATGCATTAATACATGGAATGTACTAAGTATAACGGATATATATAAGGATGTAAAACATGTTTATAAGGATACATAAGGAAAATATAATGTGCGTGACCAAGTTAAACATAGTAAAATATTTAAAGGAGAAATCATAGATAATGAACATTGTTAATGCATCTTAAAACATAAGGAAAGCTTCATAAAAACTTTTAAAGCAACTTAATTCATTTTATGGAATATTTACCATTAACTGACATAGACCACATGAGCTATAATAGGGAATTTGGTGTCTTTCTCACTGTAGACACGTAATTTTTGACCGAACTTAAAATTTTACACCATTTTTAGAGCTGAAATATTTTTATAAAATATAAATTAAAATATTTTGACTTTTCTCTTATTTTATTAAGTTTATTTTAAAAGATTTTGAAACAACAAAATAGAATCACTTTTTAAGGTAAGTTTTATTTTCAATTGTTTAAAAAGAAATGAAAGATTACAAAAAATCTATATTATTTTAAAATTTAGTTTTTATAAATAAGCTAGTATTATTTAATTGTTTTTTTTATAGCAGTTTGACTTTTTCTTAGATTTTTATTAATTTTAAGTAATTAGTTGATATGTTATTATAATTTACTATTTATAGTTAATTATTATTCTTTTAAAAGTAGAATAAAACTAAAACTAAAATAAAAATAACCTAAATATTCTAACAAATCTACCCCACTCCTATACCTACCAAAAACATACTACACGTAGTAAAGCAAGAAAAGGAAAAAGAAAAAAAAACAATCAGCAAAATTATACACCATACACTCCCACTTCCTCGCAACTTCCCCACACCCCCACTTCTTCACAACTCTCAGACTCCCCACTTCACACTACCCTTGCAAAACCCACCACCCCACGCCTATATATACACACACTACAAAACAAAAAAAAACACACACAGAGACGCACAAAACCAAAGAAAAGGAAAAAAATAATTCAGCAATAGACTTCCATCTACACGTGCACACAACATACGTATTCGTCCTCTTATTATACATTTTTTTACTCACGAACAAAGGTTGAGTTTGAAGTTTTGCTTGAGGTTTCGGATTCGTGGCTCTTTAAAGTTAATTTTCAACTATTAACTTTGGAAATTAGTAGATCGCAGCAGTTTATTTTTGGGGAAATTAATTTTCGCAAAGAGGTAACTTTCAACTTTCCCTTATAGTTGAAGATGGGTTTGAATAAATAATATAGTGTCATTTGTATTCCTTTGTCGTGGTTATGTTTTTAGTTAGCTATGTAATTGTGTATGTTCATTTAATATAATTATTATTATTATTATTATTATTGAAAAGTTATTCTTGTGTTGTTATATTCCTCCGAGTGAATTTTTTTTGAGGCATGTTTTATTTTTTTATTGTTTTGTGTCGAACAAATGTTACGTAATAATAATGGATAACGGAGTAGTTTTTTTTCTGCATGTGCAACAGTACTTCAAGTGGTTTAAGGTTTTATTGTTTACCATTTACATATAGTTCATTAAAAAGATAATTATGGACAAATTACCTATAATGTTTGAGAATAATAATAAAATTGATACATTAAGTGGTACTGAGATATCATTATTTGTGGGTATGATTTCCAACTTGTATTTTTGTGTCCATTTTTACTATCATTTCTTTTGTTCTTTTGATTTTTTTTCTCTTTTGCTTGATTTAGATTTAGCTATAGGATAATATACATATATATAATAAGGATTAAGAAAAAATAAAAAAATGGGAATAATCATGTTCCTTGCTTAAATACGAAACTTTCGTAAATACTTAACATTTCGGTAAAACAAGTGTTTTAATTTATTAGTCTCCATTTTATTTTTATTTCTTTTTACCTTACTTGTGAAGCATAATAGTAGATTTAAGAATTTCACAGGAGAGTATTCTAAATTAAATGACCACCAGTAAGCTTGTTTTTTTTTTTTTTGAGCTTCTTTAATGAGATTTGTTTATTCTTATTTTGTTTATATTATTTATTCTTATTTTTAACAAAAAATAATGGCTAAAAAATAATAGTTAAGAATTGAATTTCATGTATCTTCCGATGAGGTTTTCAGCATGTACTTTACTATTATATTTTTGGTTATTTGCATACTTGACCACGATAATTTGTTTTGCTTAAATGTTTTGTGGAAGTTTTGATTTAAATTTAAAGATTTATGAACAAAGGTGATTCTCTGCATGAATTTGCAAATGACCGTAAACAAATATATATATATAAGTAACAGATTACTTAAAAGCAAAAGAAACAAAATTTAAAAAAATGAATACAAAAGAAAAAAAACGTGTAGCTAAGAAATAAAAATAAAAAAGGGAAATTTTCTTTGAAATAACATTTGTCCCAATTTCTTTAGAACTTTTTCTCCCCTAAAAAAAAAATTAATAATCTTAAACATAAAATTTTATTTTCTATTTTAAATCTAAAAAAAATACACTCCTAAAATAACTTGAACTCTAAAAATCTCTTTCCCACAAAAATTCTAATTCCTAGAAACAAGATAACTATATATATATTCTACCCATAATAACATTTAAAAAACAAAAATATAAATACACGATAAAAAAGCAAAAAATAAAAATAAAAAAAATACAGGAGTTTCAAGTTTTAAAATTCGTAAAGGTCAATTTCTTAACTTTATTCTATTTTCTCTTGAGTAAATTTATGTCTTTGTACATATTTTTATTAATGGGTAGTTATAAAATAAATCAAAGAATAAGGGTAAAAATATTTTTTATTATTATTAAATAATACAATATCCAAAAATTAAGTCAAGCCATTTTAAAGTCAATAAAGCGACCGTGCTAGAACCACGGGACTCGAGGGGTGCCTGACACCTTCCCCTCGGTCAACAGAATTCCTTACCCGAATCTCTAATTCACAGACCAATAAAAATAGAGTCAAATTTCCTTTTGATTAGGGATTTCAAAAAGGTCACTTGGAACACCGAAACTCAATTCGAAGAGGCGACTTTGAATAATAAAACACCCTGTTCAAAACGTCACTTTAATTGAAAAAACTCTATTCTTCAAAAAACATTAATTTTGAGGGGAAAATAGGGGTGTGACAGATGACGACGCTGTTGGGGATAACCAGAATTCGAGCTTATAAAATATTAACTTATGTATGGCTTTATTTATTTATGGAAAAATTATAGAAATCTCACCTTTTAGTTTACTTATTACCATTGTCCCATATAAGTTTTACAAATCTCCAAAATCCCTTATTTTCGCGCATCAGATTAGTGTATCTCGAGCATCAGATTAATGTATCATCACTTATATTATTGTATCTCACGCATCAGATTAGTGTATCATGTATAAAATGTAATGTATCTTACTTAACGATTAATGTATCTCGCGCATCAGATTAATATATCAACGCTTATATTATTGTATTTGTTTGAGGGATTTCTGTAATTATAAACTTTTAAGGGATAAATTATAATTTTACCTTAAAAGTATGTGATTTCTGTAATTTGCCCTTTATTTATTTATTCATTTATGTTTTTGGATATTGTATTTGTTGGCTTAAAGTGCTAAGTGTCTATTTATTTATTGTTTTAATATTATTTGAAGTGCATGTAATTGTCTTCTCACGCGCATCCTTCTGAGTCTTCAATAATACCATAATGGGAATTTTGACTGCGCACCCCACTTCTATCAAGATAGCTAGTGGATCTTCGGTCCATGGTGAACGATTTTTAGTCACACTTTTTTAGGATGGGGAGCAATCTTGCACAAAGCCGGAAAGCGCTGCTACCGATACATTGCTACTCCCTGACTCGATTTGTCCACTCATTTTACAGCCAGTCTAGGTACCTCTCTCCGCAAGCTTAACCTTAGTAGAACTAAAACCAGACATGATATCCTTGGTAGGTTCCGCTTTATCTGCATCATGTGAATTTAACATAGCGAGACTCGGCATGGGGGACTGGTCTGTCTAGGACATGTACCTTTTCTTGAGACCATCATGTACATTTTTGTGCTACTTGTTGCATCATGGGGAAGACTATAACAAATGTTGACCGGCTTTAGGATAATTGACTAAAAGCAGAAATGTCTATTTTTATCCAATTTCAACAAATGATAAATTGATAATAATAATAATATACGTATATATATCAAAACATCGAGTTTTTTTTTTTAAAAAAAAATGTATATTTGTATACACATAATTAATATAAAAAATATCACTTTTATATATATATATATATATATTCTTCAAAATTCCTTAAAAAATAGTGCATGTCCGCCTTGTTTTATTTCTCTTTCTTTCTCTTGTCAAGGTTGTCTCCTTATCCGGCCAGTTTCTCCGAAAACAACCTAAGCTTCCCCTAAGGAAAGTCAACAAAGGTCGTTTTCGAAAGAGTGACCACTTTAGACATTCTGAGTCATTTTTTCATTAAAAAAAATTCTTTTTAACTACCTCGACAAATGATTTAGAATGATCAAAGTTTCATAAGTTAAATTTGGTTTTAAATCTTGAGTTTTCCCCAACCAGGTAATCATGAGATCTATTAGATGTGATAAAAGGCCCAGAGATGAAGCAGTCGAAATGGTCAATGATCCCCCAAAATTTATGATCACGGATAAAACCCCACCACTACTCATGGCTTGGTGGAATGATATGCATCAGTTTAGGAGAACTGAAATATTCAAACATCTTGGTTTTCTCACAGACATCATGAGGTTTAGTCCTGACAGAGGTTTGATCGAGGCTTTGATTGCATTTTGGGATTCTACAAACAATGTTTTTTTATTTAGCAATTTTGAGTTAACGCCCACGTTGGAGGAATTGGGTGGTTTCACAGGGTTAGGCAGGGATCTCCGAAGTAAAACACTCATAGCCCCAAGGAGCGTCCACAAAAACAAAATTTTGGAACAAATGCACATCATCCACCCTCATGTGGAGAGTTTCAATAATGGATTTGTTTCCTTGGAATTTCTATACTCAAGATATGGAAGGAAAGAAGGATTTGAAGACTATGGGAAACAACTTAAGAATGGGCAACACCTGCCTACCTGGGAAAAGCATAGACAAGAAGCATTCATGGTGGCATTTTTAGGAACCATTGTTTTTCCGATGAGAGATTAAAAAATCAGTATCCGTCTATCGGGAATAGTCACTGCTATGATGAAGAAAAAGAAATCCACTATATTATCGATGATATTGGCTGATATTTATCGCGCTTTGACCAAGTGTAGAGAAGGGGAAGACTTTTTTGAAGGTTGTAGCATGTTATTGCAAATGTGATTTCTGGAGCACTTGTATGCCATCGTCTAGCAATAGATTTCAAATCTGATTGGACAAATTTTATTTTGAGTCACCCAGACAGGATGAACGAATTAGTAGAGAAATTGCCAAGAACTGTTAAAGCATGGAGACATTATCTTCTTAAATTAACTACATCTGACATTACATGGAACTATCATTAGTTCCCTTCGAGTGAGGTAATTGTTATGTTTTCCTATCATCCATTCTTTGTTCTGACAGGCCTTCGAGGATTCCAATGATAGATACCCCTTCGGGTGCTACGCCATCTAGGACAACGACAAATCCTACCTAAGGCTGAGGATACGCATAGTTTCGTATTGGAGGTGGCGTCTGAAGATCGAAATCGAGAAGCAAAACCTTAAAAGATTTAGGGTGGTAGTCGAACTTTAAGCTCAAAAGATATGGTAGACGATCGTGTTCAAGGAGAAGTGGACCCCTTATACCTCCATTGGTTCTTTGATCAAGCCCCTCTCAAAGTAATGGCTGAAGGATCAGCACGAGAACCTATAGATCAAGAAGCAGAAGTTGAGGCTAGAATCAAGCAAGCTCGCCTCGAAGTGGAAAGAAACTATAGGTCTACTCTGGATGTCCTAAGTAATGACCTAAAGAATGCTAAAGAGGAGTTGGCCCAACGTGATGCGATATTTGAAGTGAGGGTTAGAAAACATCGTTCTACCATTCTGACCTTACAAGAAGACTTGGGCATTGTCACAGGCTCTATGGAGCAACAAGAGGAGGAGTATAAAAAAGAAAAGGTCCAGCTTATGTGCGCACAATCTAAACTCCAGAATCAAGTTAAGGCTTCTATAGAATGGGAGAGGGAAATAGCAAGGCGTTTCAGTGCTTATCAGGCGGAATGTGAGACTGAGAGAGATCAAAGGATAGCCGAGTGAGATGCACTCCACCTTCAAATTAAAGAGCTCCAGAAATAGGGGGAGAATTTGATGTATGAAGTCAATACTACTCGACATTGGTTACAGAACTGTTATGACAATATGAATGAGGCCAAAGATCGAGTACTTCAACTCAGGGATGCACTCAATAATGTTTATGCTGGCTATCTACACCGCAATGATGAAAGGTTGGGTCAACAAGCACGTGCTCTCGCTCCACATATACCAAAAACCTTGGCTATGATTTTTTCTAGTCTTAGGGGTGATTGAAATCCGGGGCATTTTAGAAGACATCTTTATTATGTTTTAGTTTATTTCCGATTCTGTTTCTTTTCTTAGTTATTAGTTGTTATTTTAATCATTTTTCAATCTATCTTAGTCTTAGGTACTTCTGTTTTCATGTTTTATTCTTATTAAGAATATTTGAAAATGAATGAAAAAGATTTGCTTTTGGTCAACTAATGTACATATATATTATATAAAAATTAATTTATGATTATTATCTCTTTCTCGAACAACGCAAAGATCTGTTTCATGCACCAACATGATACGTAGGCAACCCAATGGGTTCGATCAAACCTTTTTAACAAGAATAACTAAAGAGGAGAAAAGCGCTTAGATAAGCCGGGATGAAACATAATGTCTTCCATATCAGAAGTTATATGTGGATGCAATGTGCACAATTTCTTAACACTAATCTATTTGCTACTCCATTCAGAAAGAAAGAGTACATATTAGCTTAAAGGTGGTTTGTTTGTGGTTAAGCTGACATCACATCCCTACAATACAAGGTCGAAAGGGAAAAAGAAAATGGCCCACAAAGACGGGAATGAGACGGACAATGATGAGGGCCGAAACCAGATGACTTCACAAGAAACAGTGTCAATAGAAGACGTAAGGGCATTAAGACAACAAATGGCAGAGATGTACAAAGCTTGGACAAGTGGACAAGCTCCGTCGTTTTCAATCGTGACTATCTAAATACAAACATGCCGCCCTCTATCCAAGTGTCGACAAATGATCCCATTTATCCACCTGGATTCGGCCTCTATACTAACACATCCAACGTTGCTAGAACTTCTACGGTGCGCCCTTTGAGTACACCTATGATGAGTAATCCACTCTTCATGACAACTGCACCGACTAATAGCATTTCACAGCCAACAATGGTGCCCAAATCCAACAATGATCCTCCGTCCAAAGTTCGTCATGATCATGGTTACACCCTTGAAAAGGCTATTAAAATTCCAAGCTCTTATCCCCACATTCATCAATATAGTTCCCCTATCAAAGTTGAAAAGACGATTAAGAATGAGGAACATGAAGAGATGACTAAGAAAATGAAGAGTTTGGAACAGAGTATAAGAGATATACAGGGAATTGGAGGCCACAAAGGCATCTCATTCAGTGACTTGTGCATGTTTCCCCACGTCCATTTGCATGCTGGTTTTAAAACCCCAAAGTTTGAGAAATACAATGGTCACGGAGACCCCGTAGCTCATTTGAAGAGATATTGCAATCAACTGAGGGGTGCAGAGGGCAAAGAAGAGTTGTTTATGGCCTATTTTGGGGAAAGCTTAGTGGGAATTGCATCTGAATGGTTCATAGATCAGGATATTGTCAACCGGCATACACGGGATGATTTGGCTCGATGTTTTGTGCAACATTTCTAATATAATATTGACATTGTGCTAGACCGCTCCTGATCATTAGCCAACACAAGGAAAAAGACCACAAAAAATTTTCATGAATATGTCGTCAGATGGAGGGAGGAAGCTGCGAGGGTTAAACCACCAATGAAGGAGTCGAAGATGATTGATGTTTTTCTCCAAGCGCAAGAACTTGATTACTTTCACTATTTGCTTTCTGCCATCGGGAAGACATTCACTCAAGTTATTAAGGTTGGGGAAATGGTGGAAAATGGCATTAAGTCTGGAAAGATTGTAAGCAAAACTGCCTTAAAGGACACAACACAAGTGCTTCAAAATAGTTCTGGAAATATCAAAGGGAAGAAGAGAAGGGAGGATGTAGCCACTGTTGTATCAGCGTCGCGGACCTATGTCCAAGATAATCCTCCGCAACACTATTTTCATTCCCAAACTCCACAATATCCCGTCCCATACTCTTCATATACCGTTTTTAGCGCACAACCAATTGTCCCTCCTTCTTAGCCGCAATGGCGTGAACCAATTCCTCAAAATCATCCACCACCCCTACAAATTCACTAAAATACCGCCAGAATTCCTTCACGTCCTAGACCACAATACAAGAAGGGAAATGGAGCAAAGGATGAGTCCACCCCTATTGGAGAATCATATGCTAGCTTGTTTCAAAAATTAAGGACGTTGGATGTTTTGAGTGCTATTGAAAGAAAGATGTTGAATCCTCCCCCAAGAAATCTAGATTATTCTCAACATTGCGCCTATTGTTCTGATCCCCCAGGGCACAACATAGAGAGGTGCTGGTACTTGGAAAGGGAAATTCAAGATTTGATCGATACTCATCGAATTATAGTTGAAAGCCCAACTGGACCAAACATTAATCAAAATCCACTGCCCAGACATACTGAAACAAACATGTTAGAAATGATGAATGGTTGCGAAGAAGTTGCAGTCCCATACAAGCCGATCTTTAAGGTTGGAACTGGCATGGAAAATTCGGCGAATGTTGTTAACTTGACAAAAATGGTGCCTTTAGGATGGAAAGGACGTCGGAAAAGTTGAGCCCATCAAACACACCCATCCTAACTGTGAAATGAGCACTTGAAGATGCTTGGGCACGTCAAAGAGAGGCAAGATTGGTTGTTCCAAGAGGGTCAAACGAGCCTATCTTGATCGTGCAAGGAGCCTTGATATATCGTGAGTTTACGGTATTTCTAATACATTTCACTTACAAGTTGTGTGTGTCTAGGGCCTTTTTGTATTGGTTTTTATGTGTTTTTATCATATTTTGCAGGAAAGATGTTCAGGTGCGGAAGTAAAGAGACAGCTGAAAGAAATACAGAAAAAGGCATCTACGGATGTGATCTATGGACTGTGGGTCTATTGACGCTCCGTAGATGGTGGTCATAGATCAGCAGGCAAGGCATGGAAGGCAAATCAGGGAAATCTGACCAAGTGTGGAACCACGGTATCCATTGACGGTCCGTAGATGGATCTACGGACCGTACTGTTGATCCGTAGATTGATACTGCGAGGGTAACAGTACCTGATTTTTGAAGATTCCAAGTGTGGAGCTACGGAGGCGGATAGATCGAAACTAATTTTTGGAGGCTGAAATATTTTCTAAGTCCTGGCTGACGGAAGGGACTCACGGACTGTAGATCCGTTGACGGTCCGTGAGTCAGTCTCGTGGAATGAAGACGCGTGCCTGAAAAAACTTTCTTTAATTTGTTTTCCTTTTAATTTAGGACTTGTTTTCTATAAATAGGGCATGTAAACCTCATTTTTGGGGGTTAGATTTTATTACTTTTGTTTTACTTTGTGACTGGGTATTTAAATTTGCTACCCTAGCAATTCTTGATTTCGAAAGGTTAGTTTTTAAGTTTTGGTTTGAAATTTGAGTTGAATTTCTGGGTTTATTTTTCTCAACCACGTAAGTTCATAATTCTTTCATCTAAAACAATGAATTGTGTTCATATGATTATGGATAACTAAACTCCACAACTAGGGTTGTGGGATCTATGAGCGATTAACAAAGTATGAATAGTAAACAAGCAATTCTTGAATAGTGTTTTGCATGTATTGATAGTTCTTTCGTTCAAAAGTCTTTTTTAACGAGTGCACGCGTTAGAACTCGCCTTGTTGCTACTTGTCGGACCAAGGAGGTAATCAACAAGAAAAGAATTATCAACATAGATTTAGTGTGATACTATCTAATAGGCTAGTGTCGATTGGTGCGAAGTACTAACTAAGCCAAATATCGATTATGATGTCTAATATAAGGTAAATGTAAGGGTTAGTAAATATACACACGTAGCCGGACCAAGGTGCGGGGTGAAATTCTCTAGATGTCAGACCAAGGATTTAGAGATACCTAAAGTATCACTTTGCATGTAATACACAAGGAAAGGATTGCTATTACTAGGATTACTGAGTTATGGGCTTGTGGTGAACACGTATACCTTAGTTAATTTTCTCATCTTGATAACAACAAAAAAATTGACTTTTGTTTACTGATTACTTACTGTGAACACCTAATTTTTGACGTATTTAATTTACTCCTACAATATATAGTAAGGTCTTATATTTTTTGTTTTGTATTTTGGGTAATTTTGTCTTTGTTTATATTATTTTTTAATTGGCCCAAATGACCAAATTTTTAATTTAATTGGGTTAGTTTAGACCAAATTCTGATGGCTCAATCAATTCTGACCCGGTCCAATAGAAATGGCCAAGAT